GTTACCAAAAAGCTAAAGTCTCCTAAAATAATACTCCTGAGATGACTAGATTCAAGATGAACATATCCAAATAAAGGACTTCTCTAAATATAAGCAAGAATCAATTAAAAAATATAATTTATATCTAAACTTAGTAACAGCAAAAATGACCATCTACTAAGGAATAAACTAACATAAAACATATGAGACTCATTTTAAAGACAACCAGACAAGTTTACTAAGCCATCCAAAAAGGGCTAGAAAAGACATACTGAGTTCCAGGACAGTTAGTCTCAAAGTTGTAAATATTAATTAAATCAATACACTCAAGAAGCAATACCAAGAAAAAATGTCAGCAGGATTTTTCACTGAACACACAAGTTTTATTAAACTTCACTAAAAAGAAAAATTGGTCACAAGCAGTAAATTTTTTTTTTGAAAATAAGACCAGTAAGGGGAAACTCTATTAAGTATGAAGCAGTACACAACAGTAATTAAAATAGTGTGGAATTGGTATAAAAATAGATGTAAATCAATGGAACAAAATATACCATAAATACAGAAATCTGACATATGATAAGGAGGCATTTCTAATCTTTAAGAAAGAACAAAGTATTTAATAAATGAAACCAACAAAGCTATTTAAAACTTTGATATACCATTAGCAGCAAAAATTCAAAAGATTAATCATATACAATATTTGCAAGGGACCAGAAACTGGCCTTATCATTTTCAAATTTTGTAGAACTCAGCAAACACTTAAATTTCCATACCACTCAACACCCGCACAGGTGAACAAAATGTACGCAAAGGATGTTCATTCTATCAGACTGTAATAAAACATACTACAAGCAACAGGGAGGGTATATTAACAGTTAAATAAACAAGGACATATCCATAATATGGCATAATAAGCAGTCAGTAAAAGAACAAAATAGAATTATATGTATCAAGATGACAAGTTCTGTAACATAGGTGTCAAGCAAAATAGGAAAAACAAAGTATCAGGAGTAGTTATCATTTAAATTTGAAAACATAAAATGATATTCTGTGCTTATGTATATAAATGCAAAGAACAATCCAGGAGGATACATACCAGGTAATAGGGGCGTCTACAGGGAACAGAATGGAATTGAGATCAAATATGTACAGGGAGAGCTTTAATAGTGTATAGTTTGTTTCCCAACAAACATGTCTATCTCTCTCCCTCTCCTCCCTCCCTCCCAACTACCATCTACCTCTTTCTTGCAATCTGAGAGTAATATAAAGGGCCTCTGTAAATAATGAGATCAATCGTGATTTATATCTTTCCAACTTGGGATGCTGAGGATAAACATAGTTTTATGATTTTAGTAAAACCAAGAATGAGAGGAGCAAAAAAAGAGGCTGATCACCTTAACACTATTAGGAAAGACAAGGGTAACAAACCCACTGAACTCTCCTCACCCCACCCACAATGTTTAACAGCAAAGCTTTTTGAATGGGACTGACCTCCCATTTAAATCCAGTTCCAGGAATGAAATCCAGTTGTTTCAAGGTCAACATAGAAATCCCATTCCCCCGCCACACAATTGATTCAGGGAAAGGAATAACCCAGGTCTCAGTTCTCTGGGTCTCCAAATCTGCTCATAATTACTAGGTCCAAAGTGAGTCAACTGTAACAAAGATCAGCATTCTCCTTCCGTGGTATGGGCAGGGATGTTTTTGCTCCTGCTAGATGTGAAGGAAGTGTAATTAACGTCACTGAATCGTACACTTAAAAATGGCTAAACTGGCAAATTTTGTTAACATATTTTACGATTTTTTTTTTGAAGAAATCATTCAGATCATGGTGTTTCCCTGACAAAACTCTCCAGGAGGTTCTCATCTCCCTCAGAATGAAAACTAAAATTCTCAAAACAGCCTACAAAGTCCTGCATCACTGTCCCCCTGCTCTTTGCTGTTCGACTTTATCTCCTACAATTCTTCTCTATCTCACGCTGCTCTAACTTACTGGCCGCCCAGGCTGCTCTTCCAACACACCAAGCAGGCTCCCTCAGGGCTTTTGCAGTGTCTCTTCCCCCATGATAACCACAGGACTAGCTCTCTCACTTCCTTCAGCTCTTTATTCAGAAATTACCTTCTCAGTCAGGCCTTCCCTGACCACTTGCTGTAAAATTGCAGCTACCTCCACCCACGCTCTTCATTTCTCTTTCCTTTTCTATTCTCCACAGGATTTTCACTTTCTGATACACCAGCCATTGGACATTGCCTGTCTCTCAACAAAATGTAAACTCCAAAAGCAGAGAGATTTGTGTTTTGCTTTGTTCACTGATGGTATCCCCAATGCCTAGGGCAGTGCTCAATAAATACTTGTTGAATTCACAAAGGGAGACCACTCTTCAATGACATCAAAATCTGCACTGCCCTCCATATCGGCCTGCAACTCCCCCAAAATTAACAAACCAAACTATACAAAACCGAAGTACTCTGGCTTAAAGACTACTAAATTAGCATCCTAAGGATTTTGATATCCTTTTCCTTAGGGAGAATTTTTACATACTCAAACATATCCAGAAAACAACTCAAATTCAATTTGCCAGGAAAAAAGAAAAAAGAAACCATTAAGAATTGAACTAAAGAATTTTTGAACTCAGAAAAAAACCTACATAACTTGTTACATTAAACATAATGAGTTATTTCCCTCTACCCTGTTGTGTAAACATGGAGTGTCTCACATTCTATAGCAGTAATGACTGTATCGGAAGGACAGGATCCTAAAAGGCACGCGACAGGCAACCAATCAGCCGCACAAGCTAAAGCTGGAGGGGCGAGCAAGCACACTTTGGATTGACAGCAGCTGTGAGAAGGCCTGGGCGATATGGGTACTCTTCCTGGTTGCTTTCCTGGGGCCCCTAAGGGAGTCCACCTGGGTGAAGTGGAAAGGGGAACGAGAATGTCCGTCTAAGGAACCTCCCCACGCAGACCAGCGGCCTGCTTTGCCAGAATGAACACCTCCAGTGTCGGAGAAGGCTAGAAATGGTACCCCAGGGTCTAGACCTGGAAGCAGGAATGGGGAGGACACCTTACCCTGAGAAGAGCCAGTTCAACGGAACTTCTCCTTCAGCTGGATGACGTGTGGAGCGCCCCAGCAGCAGGGTCTGGAACCCAGGCATCCAGGACAGACACCAGTTCAACAGACTTCATTCCCGCGCTGCAGAGTGCACGCCGAGGCGTCACGGCGCTCAGAGTACACATCATTCCCGGCACACGCCCGACCTCCACTCGCCCGGCGCCGCGCTGCAGCCTCCCCAAGTCCCTGCTGGCTCCTCGGCGCGCATGCGCGAGGAAACCCTCGCCGCCGCTGAGCACTCCGGGAAATGTAGTCTGTACGGGTGCCGGTGGGCCGCCAGAGTCCTGCGTCCCGGCGGAATCTGGAGAAGTCAGAACGCTTTCGCCACCCCGGTCCTAGTCACGTCGTCACACCTGTCCTGTCACCTCGCACTCACGCTCCATTCCAAGCGCTGGGCTTTGGTCAAGGTGCGCCCCGAGGGAGAGCGCGAGACCCCGTCTTCCCTTCAGCGG